TGAAAGTTGATGTATTTCCTCAGCGACCAGCACAGATCAGCTCTAGGCATGACGAAGCGGATATCGTCCTCTTTTGGAAGACCACACAAAGTAGTTTCGCTTTCACAACGAAACACACAGCGTCTTCACGACATGGCTGCAGCGTCAACAATACTACAGTGAGACTAAAAGTTACGCCTTCTTTCTTTGCGTGAACATTTGGTCGGCGTTATGCAAATCTTCCCACATAGTGAGGTAGATATGTGGGGGCGTGTTAGAACGAGCCGTTTTAGGTAAATGTGGCTGACTCTGAACTTTTATAAAGAATATCACTTTGGATTTGAGACTTTAGTCTTTGCAACTTTACAGATCTTCTTTATGCACCAATAGCTTGTAACACTCCAAAGAGAAAGGAAAAATTGAAATCGCATCATATGAACCCTTTAACATTTAAACATTTGTAAAAACACTTTACCATTAAAACTATTAAAAACACTTTCCCAGGTTTTTTGTTGTTGTTGTTGCTCACAAAAACATGACTTCAGAAGGCTTGGAATATATAATGCACAAGTCATATGCACTACTTTTCTGATGCTTTTTTCAGTCCCTTAATGCGATTTGCTTTCATTGTCACCATTCTGACTAACATCTATGGCTGAAAAAAAGTCATAGGGCTACAGTTTTGGAATGACATAAGGGTGGGCAAATGGTGACAGAAATGTCATTTACAGGTGAATTTTTCCTTTAAGACGTAGATCAGGTTGCATGAGTGTGTTCGAACCCCTATGCATGTGAACAGAGGTGAAAGTGTGTTTTGGCGGGGCGTTATGTTCCCTCTTCACACTCGTTCTACCCAGGGCGCATTAATCATCTCGTGCCGCCTGTTGCTGTAACACCTGGTGGAGAGATACACTTACACACCCTTTCATTCATCGCCATCCACCCTCGCTGTCCACCCTGAGTGTTCTCTCATCTGGCAAGCTAACCCTGGGTTGACCCCTGACCTTTATGCACACTCGATTGGCTGTTTAATGACGCATTTAATCAACGCAGATCAACGACCACCAGAAGGGTTTTAGGTACCTCATAAACAATACACAAACTCACTCACACACATGGATGGAAGCACAAATGAAACCATTATCGCCACTGTACAGTAAATGCTAAGCGCACACACTCATGCACATACAGCAATATATCAAACACACATTTAAAACGCATATTTGTATCAAAAAACACGTCCTCAAATTCACATCCCAACCAATCACATTAAAGGAATACAGCACAACACCAAAGGATAATGGGAAAGCAGTGCTAGCTGATGGTTAAACGGTAACAGAGCAAGAGCAGTTCTGCTGAACTCATATAAATACAGTGAGAGACAGACAGAGGGAGAGAGAAAGCCAGGAGAAGAAAGAGACCAATAGAATCACATGAAGAGTGACAGACAGACAGAAAGAGAGAAAAGGTCAGAAAGAGAGACCGTACAGACAGTGAGAGACAGGTCGAGATAGAAAGACTGGTAGAGAGAGAGACAGAAATCAGGGCTGAACAATAAGGACTGCACTATTACCTGGTGTTAGCGTGAAAGACGCTCAGGAAAGTTGATGTAATTGTCATTCCATAAGTTTATAATTTGCACATGTTTTTAAGTCTTCTTTCGCCATTCAAGTGATTTAAAACCGTTTAAGACGCATAAAGAGAATTCTCCAAGACTGGCATTTGGGCATATTTTTGTCTGTTTTTGTCCGTTAAAGCGCAATAAGGCGCGAAAGAAAACCGTTTCTTTATGGCGCTTTAACGGAAAGATGCATACAGAATTCATTTAAGATTACCATTTTGGTCGGTTATGTCTTAAGTGAAACTAAAGATCCTGAGAAAACCTGCATTTATATCAGTGTATTGAATCTGTGCATTCGGGCTTAAAGTGACAACCGCCTATTAAATCTGCTGCTATTTGTGTCCTTTAATGAGAAAATTAAACAACAAAAAGAAAAAACGGAACTCACTCACTGCTCTTGACTGAATAACTTTTGTAGCTTTAATTTATACATTGAAAGCTATGCTGTGCTATTTTACATGGGATTATTGAATTTCAGTAGTATGTCTTACCTGAATATAGTGTTAGATCTACCTGAAAAACTTAAAGCACTGTTTATTACTTTGTATCACTGTTCTATTGTACTGATTTGTGCTGTTACCTGTTCTCATTTTATTACTGACTGTTTACTTCTCTGTCGTAATGTTTGAACTTTATATTAGTTTTTGCTATGGCATCAAAATTGGAATTGAGAATTGTGAAATTTCACTGGTATCTAAAATGTTGTTGTAAGAACCTTATTTAGTAATAGACTAGTTTACATCTCTCAAAACCAATGAAAATTAACTTTTTTTGTGGTGGGGAAATTAAAAAATTGGCAGGCTGAAAAAAAATCCTTAGCGTTTAGCCCTGGACATGCAGAAAGAGAGAGAGAAAGACAGGCAGACCGTTGAAGACAGAAGAAGAGATCACAACACAGAATAAAAAGAGAAAGAGAGAAACCACCAAAAGAAAAAGAGAGTTAAGAGAAAGAAAAGAGGAAAAGAATTCGGCTGAACTGGTAAAGATACCTTCTGTAGAACAGTTCCTGCCGCAAGCGGTCTGGAGTATATAGAACATCTCACGGAAAGAGCGTGGACCTTCCCATACGAAGCATTTAGAAAAAGAGAGAGAGTGAGAGAGAGGAAGAGAGGATGGAAAAGAGATAGAACAACTGATGTAAAGAATGAAGAGTCGAAGGATAAAAGAACTAAACAAGAGAAGGGAGAGGAAGTGGGCTGTGAAGAGAACCAGAAGAAGAGGAGGAAAAAAAGAGGCAGAGCAGCGAAAGAGTGCAGAGCAGATGCTGCTGAAGCAAACAGAAGGTATCTGAACACCAAACGCCATGCATTCTGCAACCCGACTCTCCCATTGCCTACCAGATCAACAAATACAGGAGCTCAATAACATCCGCAGTCAACATAACTTTATTAATATTATTGTAAAACATTATTCAAATTAACATATTTTGTAATATTGTAGACATAATATAATATAATATAATATAACAGGGCAGTAAAAGTCATTAATGTGCGTTTTTACTTTTTTGCAGTGAATGTTTGGTCATAATGTAAGGTAACATAATATAATACAATGCAGTGGTTCCCAACCCTGGTCCTGGAGGCACTCCAACACTGCATATTTTGCATGTCTCCTTTCTCTGACACACCAATTTCAGATCTTGGAGTCCCTACTGAGCTGATGACCTGAATCAGGTGTGTTTGATTAACACTAGAACTGCCAGGGGTCGCTGTATACCTAAAACCGCCAGCGGGTAAATTTTACCCATGCACATGACAGCTGTTTCTGAATGGCTAAAGAACATTATTTCACTGTATTATGCTACTGTCTTCACAGAGAAGTGCCTAGAGTCATGAAATGATTATGTCTAGTCATCAACTATATTTTTGTCCTGTTGTTTTATGTTCAAAACTTTTTTATGCAGGCTACACTAGTCACTTTTCATAACGGTCAATATTAAGCTAAACAAGCCTGCACTGACAACGAGAATTAGAAGGAAGTAAATAGCCTACATATTTAGGTGGTGTAACAGGCTATTATAATACAATGTCATTAATCAATATATTAAGATAACCTATGTTATTTAAATGACTAAAACAGCCTATAGACAATAATGAGCAATAATAATTCACCACATTGCATAGGATGATGATGACAAATTCAAGCGCACAGCTTCGCCTAATTAATTATTAATTTGTTTAGTTATATCATTTATAATTTGAATTATACATGAACACCACCAATAAACTTCGGGTAATAAAAAAAAAAGGTTTTATTCATTAGCCTACATCAGATCTGATTTTTTTCTTCTTCAGGAAACAGGCAGACTAGAATAAATAGCATAAGCGAACAATACACGATAGAAATGGCAAAACAAAAGTTATATAATTAATCCAAATTTTTAACAATTATGAGTAACATTTGGATAAAACGTCTAAATATGATATATTGATCGCCGTCAGATGCTGAGCC